GGAGTCCTTCCTTAAGGAATAACTTGCAAGTGAATTCTGGTCGCCGCATGTGCTTCTGGGAACCAGACTAAGACACTTAACCAACCACATGCTGGTGCCACTCAGGAGCTACTTACCGCTATCCTGCCTCCCCTCAAACACGGCCAGACCGTGGGCCAGCCCAGGTTGCGCTCTCAAAATGATCTAATGTGAGAAAACAGAAGTAGTCAAACCTCAGGAGACAGTGAGTGCAATTCTATATTCAAAAACTACAGGAATATTATTACCCACTAAAACAAGTTCCAACTTCAGATGTTGGCTTCTTCGTGATGGAATGCTAAGTTCTCATGAAATGATGATAGGGGAGGACGGTTCCAGCCAGGATGCTGGCCTCGGGCCTTCCTCTCTGGAATTGCTCCGGCAGTGTGTATCTAAGACGTAAATGCCTCAGGCCCTTTTTTTCGGCTTTTTCAGCTTTCTCGGACAATTATGCTTCAGCTTTTGGACTGTGCACCATTGTTCATGAGCAACAAGCTTAGAGCATTAAGTATCAAACACGTGCCAAGCAAACTGAAGTGGATGATGGGGTTCTAGGCCCGTTCCCAGCTCCTCTTGTTCCCCCCAGCCTGGTGGACGGGAGATGATGGGAAAGAGAAGTATCCATTTCTTGAGTAATTTCTGAGCTCCGTCTCATGACTCTCAGTAGTCACAAGTTGAACGCATGAAACAAGATTAGATTTTAGGAAAAACCATTTTCACTGCAGCAAGTCTGGTGGTCCCTGCTGACATTCCTTTAACTATTCCAAATGGCTTTGTCGTAATCGTATTTGTTAGAACACATGCTCGCACAGGAGCTTGCTGCGTAAAAAATGTGCTTGAGATGAGGCCAAATGCGTGATGAAAGTATTTCCAGTCTACGGGATTTCCATCCCAGGGGAGAGGTCTTCTCCATGGAACCTGTTGCCTTTGGTGTTCTGAGGTGATTGCACAAACTGTAACGTGCACAAATCCTCCGCCGTAACACTTGCTGTCTGTTCCCACTTCTTTTCTCAGCAGAATTCTTTCTCTTCAGGAGAAGAAATTCCCCAAACATAAAAGCATGCAATTTGATCAGTTTTGGGAAATGCTTTTACCTGTGTGGCCACAGCCCTACCAAGGCCTAAGATGTGACTATTTCTGGAAAATTCCCTCATACCCCTTCTCAGAGAGTTGCCACCCCACCTCCCAGCCAGAGGCAACCGATGTTGTGTTTGTTGCCGTTGCTGTTTCTACCTCTAATTCACTTTGCCTGCCTTGGGGCTGCACACCAGTGGGCTCGCATGCCACGTGCACTTCTGTGTCCAGCGTGCACTTAACACAACCTCTGGGAGGGTCTTCAGCACCGTGGAAGATAGTGGTTGTTCCTGTCTTTTGATGGAGAAATTTTCCATTGAATGGCTGCACCATTTGTTTCTGCCACGTTGTTGATGGGCCTGGGGTTGTTTACAGTTTGGGGCTATTATGAACAAGGCTGCTGGGAACAGTTATTGTGGACGTGTGTTTTCATTCCTCTCGGGGCAACATGCAGGAATGCAGTTGCTGGTTCTGAGTTTAAGTGCGTGTTTAATCGTATAAGAAATGGCCACATCCCTTTCGAAATGGACTGCGCCGTTGTACGTCCCTTCCAGCCACGTGTTGAAGCGCTGGTTGCTCCCCAACAGAACTGAAGCTATTGTCAGTGTTTCAGCAATTCTCACGGGTGCGTGGTGGTTTTTCACTGTGGTTTCAATTTGTATTTCCCCATAACTAGGGATTTTGAGTACCTCCTAAGTGCTTTTTAGCAATTCGTGTGTTCTTTTTGAAGTACCTGTGAGCCCACTTAAAAATTGAATTATTTGTCTTTTTAATGACTGGGTTGTAGGAGTTCTTTATACAGACTAGATACAAATTTTCTTTTTGTTTTTTCAGTTTGGGATGTTAGGGATATGTTTACACATTCTGTGGCTTGCTTGTTCACTTTGTTATTAGAACCTTTTGATGAAACTATTTTGATTCTGATGAAGTCGATTAATCATTTTTGTTGTTTGGTGGTTCTTTCTTTTTATGTCATACTTGAGAAATCCTCCATCCACAGATGAAGAAGGCATTCTCCTGTGGTTTCTCCCAGAAGATTTGTGACCTTAGGGTTTATGTTTAGGTCTACGACTCCTCCTGAATTAATTTTACATGCATGATATGGGGTAAGAATTGAAGTTCATTTCTTTCCCCAGAGGATATTCTTTCAACACTATTTGTTAATGAGAATTCCCTGGAATTCCAGGATAGCTGAAGTCAACAGTGGCTGCGTTGGTCCATATCGCCCAATACTTTCTCCCCAAATACTACACAACAATAAGAAGATTTAAAAAAAAAAAAACTACCCCAAAACTTGAAGACAGAGAATGCTCATACTTAAACATAACTAGAAAACGTAACTGCAAAAGCACAAAATTCTAGTCAACAATTTGTCCCTCTTTTATCCTGCTTTGAGGTTTTGTGGCAAGAAAAAGAAAGCCAAAAATTCTGTGGGAAGAGACGAGGGGGAAAGAGATGGTCCTAGTGCCATCGAAGCAGGAGTCTTGCAAAGCTCCCGGGACCACAAACATGAACAGAAAAACAGAAATACATCCACACAGAGTGATGAAAAATTAGAAAATGAATCCCAGTATGCCTTCACTAGTGAGTACTCCACCCTCCAGAATGCTGTTAGTGGCCCAGCTGGACCTAAAGTAAGTAATTACTGTGACATTTTATACTGTAGTCACCGTGCGGCCGAGGGCCCCAGAGGCGGCTGGAATGAATCGCCGTGGACTGGCCATGGCCGAAGAGACACTTTCTAGTCTGTCTGGGCTGCTACAGCAACATATTATACACTGGGTGGCTTATGAACAACAGAAATGCCATTTCTCACAGCTCTGGAGGCTGGAAGTCCAAGGCCAGGGTACCAGCATGGTCCGGGGAGGGCGCTCCATCAGGTCACAGTGTCTTCACGTGGTGGAGGGCTCGGGGTCTCTGTGGGGTCTCCTTATAAGGCACTAATCCCACCCACGAGGGCGCCACCCTCATGCATTAGTCACCTCCCAGAGGCCTCTCCTTTTAATACCATCACCCCTGGGGGTTAGGATTCCAACGTCCAAATTCTAGGGGGACACAAACATTCAGACCACAGCAGTGCTAAAGAGTAAATCCCTCTCCATCTGCAGACCATAAAACAAACAGTCATTCTGAGGGATTATCGTGTGATCCTGCTTTATACACTGA